TCAAATATGTCTTGGCCTAGAAAGCTTTGGCAAAGCCGCTAACAATCCGAAGTCATAAATTGACCATCGTTCCAATACAGTCTAAGTTTTTTTCAACAAACAAAAGCCTGGCCAAGTTCAGAGGGCAAGACAGAAAATGTTTGTCAAGTCCAGCTGCAAGATCAATTTTTCCAGGAACAAAACACTGAGTACAAGCAATTGAAAACTATGCCACGCCATACTACATTCAGAGCCTTAAAAGCAAGAAATTCTTAGTCCTTTGCCAAGGAAAGCTGAAGCTAGTCAGTTCTGTTTAAAGCTTAGCTTATCTGGAGCAGAGCATCCTGCCCATGGTACCAAATTTTCCTTCCGCTCTCTGTCCTTTCTTTATATGGAATGGCACATTTCATGGACCAACTGGTGGGAACTAAGCAGAGTCAGGAACAGCAGACAATATTAGGCCTTACCAGCAGTGCTAGACTCATCTGATGTAGCAAGACTCGACACATGTTCTTTTCTTCATTTGAAGATGATTTGTAAACATGGCAAAGTATGTGTTTCCCTTCAGTGATGTATATCAATACAGTGGGCTAGATTAGATAGAGCTGTGACAGCTGTAGGGGAAACATTTGTTGTTGTTGAGATCAGTCTCTGAAGAGGACCAAGTTTCTGGATTGTTCAAGAATACTGTTACTGGGTTCAACGCTTCATTTCTAAGGAACTAAACATCATCTTTCCTATGAAGCCCTATAGAGTTTATCTTCATCCTTTGCATATTATTATATAGCCCAGATGTACATGATTCACCAATTAAAAACAGTCTGATAACTTTAAAACTGCACACAAAGTGCCATATTTGATTACAGATGATTGAAGATGACTTTCTCATCATCTGTTACAATGAATTCATTTTCCCTGAGTAAAGAGATGTTCCTCTTCTTATAACACAAGGTGTCAAACTTACGTCACGTGATGTATCGGGACTTTTATTTTCCCTTTCACTAAACCGGGTGTGGCATGGCCAGTGTATGAGGCATCTGGCTTGCAGGCCAGGAATTTGACAGCCCTGTTGTCCATAAATGGACAACTTCTTTTTTTCTCAGTCTTTGAGTAACATGCCAGAGGTGGCTCCCCCCAAGGTGGATAGGGCTCAGTAGTAATGGATGGATCTAGAAAATAAATAAATTAGAATTTAAATTACCCAAGCACCCTTGCATGCATCCAGTTTCTTTAGCTATTTTCCCTTACAATCACATTCAAAATGAAATTCTGTATGTTTTGTTCAATTGTAGCTACCACCATATAGGTTTTTCTATCCCAATATAATCTTACTTATCAGCGAATGTAAAAGATCAGCTATCTGGATAGAAACAAAATGGTGTTATTGGTGGCATAATAAAAGCAGACATTTAACACAATTATTTGTATAACAGACTGGCTCAACTAACACTCACTGCCCAGCCCCCAGCCCCATAAAAAAACCCTTTTCTACACATACATAACACACAGAAATAGACCCTTTACCTTTGGTCTTTTGGATTTAAATTGTGTGATATTATTGTTGATTGTACAAAGTCAGGCTTAATAGTATTTTTTTTTAAGAAAAGATTTTTCTTTTTTTAAAACATCTCTAAAAAATAGCAGGAGTAATCACGCTAATTTAAAACACAATGCTGAAACAAACTTGCCTGATCTGGCAGACAGGAATATCTGCCATATAAATCCTATACCTCCCAGCTAGCATCTCATCAGGTTGTCTAAAAGCTGCCATGCAGGTAGTGAGAATGTTTTGTCTAAAGCTCAAAGAGAAAGTGACAAAGACAAAAAATGTGACGCCCACTATCTGCTTTAACCCAAACAAAACAGGCTGATAACTACAATCTGCTGAATTATACCATAGGTCTATCCAAAGCAATCATCACCATAGTTAAATACTTTTAGAAACTTCACAAAAAGGTAGCAGGACAACACACATTTTATTTAGTTGTTTCTATTATCTGGTATTCAGCAGTATTTCATGACTCATAAAGCATTGGATGAGATTTAATTAAAGCAGGTGCATGTAATATAGTAATGTAAGTCCAGAAGAGTAGGAAAAATATGAGACTAAAATTAAGAAGAAAAAGAAAACCAAATTATGGAAATATGTACAGAGTCATATTTCATTAGACAATGAAGATATACTGAAGCATTGAATAATTTTCTGGCTTTTAGGAACAACTATTTACACTTAACAAGCTGTCAAAAATAATGCCAAAAAACCTACTTTGGTATTGGTATTTGTATCATTTATTTGTATCATCAAACACATAAACCTAAAATTTTCAATCAAGCCACAAATGACAACACTAAGATGATCCTATTTTGGACACATTATGCAAAGATCTAGTTCTTTAAAAAAGTGCTGGAAAAGGTCGAAGGAAGGAAAAGAGATAACTAGCTGAAGGGTTGATAAGAGTCGATTACATCAGCAATGGGTGTTCCATTGGCTGATCTAAAGAACCAGGTTAGGCATAGATAATTCTGGAGAAAAACTGTCCATGTGGTTGCTAAGAGTTGACATTGCTTTGATGACAAACAATGAATCAATCAGGAAAATAAGAATATATTTTATGTTAAGGCTATCAATACCATATACTGTATACTGCATATATGCAAGTTTAATGTTTTACAATATATTAAATCAGCACATCTTGAGTTTGTATATGCATGATATCTTTAATAAGATTATTTGTATCAAGAGAAAATATTTATTATTGAAAAGAAAAAAACGTATTTGCAAAACTTAGTTTCAGAAACACAAATTAAGCAGAAGTTAACTTCTTTTCCTTCCCTTTTCAAATACTTTAAATTGTAATGTTATGTTTCCTGGATTCAAGTTTCAAGTGAAGTCAGAAGTTACACTCTGTTACTTCTGAGTAAACATTTAACTGGAATTTTAAGAACTGCAATATTCATTTTATTTAAGAATCAATCCCTTTTAAAGAAAATTATTTCCAGTTCAATGTGCAGAGGATCTACCTGTCAATGAAGTCTATTAAAATATTTAAAAATGTGGAATTTGTATTAGTTGTTTCATGCAAGTCTATGACTGCAACTTCACAATGTTATGTGAATCTATAAGTTCATGAATTTTTTAAATCTTTATGAACATCCCCAAAATGTGTTTGCACTTTTAAATGAGCAGAAGAAATAGTACTTTTATTATTTTATGTTTATGATGATTTTTAGGTATACAATTGAATGAAAATACCCCTAATATGATTTGGTAAACAGTTCTTTGATAGATAGAATTACATTAAAATAATGAAAACTGGAAATACTGAAAGCTTGCTCAGAAATCCTGATTACGGTCAAAATTCTCCAATAAACAAGCAAACCCAAAAAGCTTGGAAGTTTCAAAATGGCAAGATATAGTAATTACTGATTCTTCCTTTTTGTTGTTATTGTTTAAAAATGGAAAGGAACAGCTTTTGAGGTACTGTAAATGTGATCAGTGTTTGAAACCTCAGCTGTCCCATCATCATGTAGGAAGAAAAATCCACTCTGGTTCCATACTGGGAGAAAGATACTGGAAATAAAATGGAGGCTGGCTGGTTGGAAAGAAGGTCTCTGTTTATTTGGATTCCAGAAACTTCAGTGACAGCAGAATGTTTCTTGGGTAGCTGACAAAATGTCTGAATGAATGGATGGATTTTTATAGAATTCTGGGGTTTGGTGATTGAGATACTCCAGGGGTTTGTGCAATGTAGTGAGTCTTGTGTCTTTTAGTGTTTCAATGGTGATGGGTTAATCCTATTATATCCTAAAGGTCATGGCCTGTCCTTAGAATTTTTTTTGGGGGGGGGATGTAAATTCTTAATTCCATCAGCTCCAGCTTGGGGGACTTTAGCTAAGGGTGTTTTGTTATGAATAGGCTGGCCTAGATTTATTAATAGGCACAAAATCCATCTCTAAGAACTTCAGAGTTCTACTTGAGGCAGCTTGAGTTTTCCTTTAGCACACAAGTGTCAAATGTGCCCATGTTGTCATCATGTTGCCATCATGACATTTTTCCCCTTTGTGGAGTTGGGGTGGGTGTGGCCTGTATGTGACGCATACGGCCCTTGGGTTGCCAGTTTGACACCATTGCTAGGAAGACTGGGGCTGCTGTCTGCCTATTGGAGCATGTTTCTCTATTTCTCCTTCGGAAATTATATTTGGGGAAATATAATATTCTGCCTCTTTTAATATTCCCAAAAATATTTTATTCTCTGGGTGGAGGGGGTTCCCACAATCATTATTTTGAAGTTTTCCAAGGCCAAATATTCCTGATCTGAAAGAGTTGGTCTTATAGACCAGACCAAACAAATAGGGGGGCAGGTAGTTGAAGGTCAACTGTTACTATTCTAATACTGTTTATTTTCAAAATCTTGCAGCTTATCAGGACCCGCATAATTAGCACAAAGCCATCAGGGCACTACAAGATCAGATTTGTGTGATATTCCAGAGAGTCAAGACAGAGTTAAAGACAATGATGTGAACAAAGCAACAGCCTTACTAACAGCTGGTGTTTATACTTTCATTCAATCTTGACAATGCAGTTCTGATTGGTTTATAAGGCCATGAGTTGAAATGAGTGGGCCGGAGCATTACGCTCGTAACGGGGAGGGGCAGATATGGCGGGGNGCTGGGGAGGGCAGAAATGAACGAAAAACGGGCCTTTTTTTGCTCAATATTGCTCCCCCCAACCCCCAGGAGCACTCTATAAACCTCCTAAAAGATATTTTGCAAACAATGGGCTGTTTTTGGAAGGTCTGCAGAGTGCAAAACCCTTTTTTTTTTTAATTTGCTTCTTCAAAACCTTGGTGCTTATACTCCAAAAAATACGGTGTATTGTTACAGAAATTATATGTTGATTGAATGTAATAATAATATTTAATCTGATCAGTTTTGTTTGTATTGGAATGCACGGTGCCCAGGTGCCAAACTGTTCACGCACTGATTTGACATTCTTTATAAAAATAAATAAATAAAAAGAAATCTATAATCTAGATTTCTACATTAAAAAAAAAAAGATACGTCCTTCTGCAACCTCACCTTCCACATACTCCATGACCATGCAGAGATGACACCTGGTTTCGAAGGAGCAGAACATGCTGACCACAAAAGGGTTCTCCGCAAAGGTCAAGATGTCGCGCTCCACAAAGACTTGCTGGATCTGGTTCCGTAACACCAAGTTCTGCTTGTTAATCTTTTTGATGGCAAACCGTTGGCGAGTCTCCTTGTGCCGCACCAGATACACAGCCCTAAAGGAACACGGAGACTTATTGGGCAACATGGGAAGATGGGAACATCTTGATGTTTTCTATCCATTGTTTAGTTCTCTTGGCAACTCGTTGAGGTAGATGAGGCTGACAGATAGTGGCTGTCTCAGTTCACTAGGGCCATAATGAGGATTAATTCGAGTACAGGTAGTTCTCGACTTACAATGATTCATTTAGCAACCGTTTGAAATTACAACAGTACTGAAAAAGATGAATTATGAGCAGTCTTCACACTTAACAATAGCAATAGTGGAATAGAATAGAACAGAACAGAATAGAATAGAATAGCAGGGACTTTGGAGGTCTTCTAGTCCAACCCCCTGCCTAAGCAGGGAACCCTACACCACTTCAGACAAATGGCTATCCAACATCTTCTTAAAGACTTCCAGTGTTGGAGCATCACAGCTTCTAAAGACAAGCTGTTCCATTGATTAATTGTTCTAATTGTCAGGAAATTTCTCCTCAGTTCTAAGTTGCTTCTCTCCTTGATTAGTTTCCACCCATTGCTTC